CCACCCACCCACCCCAACTGTGATACAGGAGGTTGACTAGGCCACGCCCACCATGGCCACGCCCACCCAGCAACCAGGCAGAGAATTCCTTGCTAAAATTTTTGAAGCCCACCCCTGCAGTGTTACCTTGTGGTAAGATGGGCAGTCAATAAATTTGATATATAAACAAAATAAACAAAACTACGGATGAAAAGGAAAAGGGGACCAGACTGTGCTACTGCCAATGTAGTCAGTGAATGGTATCTGATTTTTAACCTATGGTAAAACTGCTGCAATTTATTGGTTGTTTAAGGAGAAAACACTGCTGTAACACTAAGATAGCTAAGACTAACTTCCCCCTATCTGCAGTATGGGCCCGTGATGAGATGAAGGCCCTGTCAAGGGAAATAGCAGGTAAAAATGGTGACCGCAGAAGATGCTGAGATGCCAGGGGGAAAGCTCCTCAAACTAGTATCTGTTTCCTGTTACCCAGTGGTGGGATTCAAATTTTTTTACTGTGATTCTGTGGGCGTGTCTTTGTGGGCGTGGTGTGGCTTGGTGGGCGTGTCTTGGTGGGCGTGGCAGAAGGTTACTGCAAAATCCCCATTTCCTCCCAATCAGCTGGGACTTGGGAGGCAGAAAATAGATGGCGGCAGGGCCAGTCGGAGGTGGTATTTACCGGTTCTCCGAACTACTCAAAATTTCCGCTACCGGTTCTCCAGAACTGGTCAGAACCTGCTGAATACCACATCTGCTGTTACCCCAAAGTAATGCCAAGATATACTTCTTCCCACAAAGTTACCTCAGTGTCAATCTCATCGTTGAGTTCAATACCAGCATACTGAAAAACAGGGAAAATGGGACAAGGAGTTAGACAAGAAGTTAGAAGGCAGGAGTTAAAACCAAAGTTTGCAAACCGGGGAAGATTGACTCTCCACCAATATTTTTTAGGCTAAAATGAACCTACTGCAGCTCCTGATTGGCAGCCTTTGTGCAGCCGAGCATGGCATACAGATAGTCTTTGATGTAGAACTATAACCGAGCCTGGAAATTACAGTCATAAATCATGAATGTCGTAAAGAGGGTCATCACATTTTTATGACCACATCCCCTGTGGTCTCTAGGTAGGGCGCAAAGTGACTGTCCTACCCACAGCTTGAAAAAGATTTCCTGAACTTGCATTATGTAGAGTATTACATCCGCTCTTGCAGTTCCTTATATGAACTGAATGTGCAAAGAGCACCAGTCCATATTTACATTCAGAAACGTATATTTCATTAGGATGTTTCTGAAGGGAATCACATTGTGAATAATAATTACGATTATTAGGCTGACCTTGTAGAAACACAGATTCTGGCCTCTCTTTAGTTATGGAGAAAATAATTTCCCTAATCAAGGAACTAGGGAATGCGATGGCTCAGTTGCTAAGATGCTGAGCTTGTCGATCAGAAAGGTCAGCAGTTCGGCGGTTCGAATCCCTAGCGCTGCGTAATGGAGTGAGCTCCCATTACTTGTCCCNCCCCCAACCAACACCAACTGCGACCTGTCCGAGAGATAGGAGGAGAAAGCATCAGATAGCATGTTTTGCCATGAGTATATTCCTCTCACATACTTTGTTTACTTTTCCTCCATGTTCCAACAACTTCTCTTGATCCTTTAGCCCCACCCCCACCCCAACATCTACTGAAGAAACAATAACACTAAGGATGGTGGAAAGCTGTAGCAGGCTGATATTTTATTTGGGTTGGGGGAAAAGGGCATGTGCTAGTAGAGAGGAGTTAAGGTTAAGAGTTCAGCCTCCAAGATACTTAATTTAGTTGGCATTTTTTAAAGGGGGATCACTAAGTCAGTGATTTATAATTTGTTTTCGAGGAAAGACCATCTAAGATTTCAGAGTGAAATCTTAGCCGGGTGTACTCGGACTCTGTAAACTGAACAAGGATGGCCATTTTGGTGAATAAATCCAAGAAAAGAAGAAAGAAAATGTAGTTGATCCCACAAAAGTACACAGATAGTTTTTCTTAATGTTTATCCACTTGGGAGAATGTTACGTTCCTCCTGGATGAACAACTTAATGCTAGGTTAAATCTGTTTAACCTAAGTCTCTCAATTTTGTTGACTTCCTTTTTGCTACAATCCCATTTTCTCCACATTAACATTTTGTTCATGAGGCAAGAAAGGAGATGGAAGAAGCCATGGGAAAAGGATAACAAATGGGGGGTGGGGGGAATGCTCTGGACTTCTCATAAAACCATAATGGAGACAAAATTATTGCATAAGTAGGCAAAGTCATCTTTGTTTATAATCCTTCTAACTTTTCAGTCTTTTTTCTTAAGACAGAAAATCTGTTGACAGAATGGGAAGAACTGCAGAATGTCTTTAGATAGAAAAGGTTAGGCACAATCTATTGGGAAGCACTATAATAATATACAAAATGCAGGAGGTCCATGGCTATATTTTTCCTTGCAAAGAAACAAGGATTCTCTTTGAAACTTTCAGCTGCGGCTGCTAATGCACACAGCTTCGTACAATCCTGTCTTCATGTTACCTGCTTAATCCATTTTTGGAGAGTTGCACAATACACTGAACCATAAATTAAGAGGGCATAATTGGTAAAGCAGAACGAAGTTAATTTGACACATGCTTGCCTGCCTGTAAACTAATCTTCCTTAACTTGTACTTTCTAAATGCATTGGTATATTCTTTCCAACTGGGAATTTTAGTGCTCTCAATAAATCAAGACACAATATGCCCAGAAACATAAACACAGAGATGCAACCTAATTGCCCAATGTCCAACTATTGAGATATTCCTAAGAAGTTAAAATTTAAGAGGTGAGGAAGTCCATGCACCAGAAGCTGAGCAATTCATTTCAATGTTGGTTGATTGGTTTCTTCTTGCCACCTTTTTTATTTTCCACCAGTCAGTGCTTCACTGAAAAGTACAGAGATTAAAATATTGCTTGGCAGTCATATTCTCTGATTTTACAAAGCTTTTCTCTGGGTTTCAGGCGACCTGAGTCTTCAGGCAGGTGCCAAATCCGGTAGCAGGCTTGAGACAGAAATGGGTACTCCAGAAACTGTTGGCAAAATCAGATCATACTGTGCCATGGGCAACTTCTTATAATTGAAAACACAGTTCTGTGATTGAATGTAGGTCATTCAGAAAGATTGGATCGCTGAATTAAATTAAAAGAGAAGGGGAGTTTTCAACGTGTCAACATGCAGAAGAAAGCTCCACTGGCATCCTGCCCGTAGTTGTTTTGGCAGATCTGATTCCTTGCTTGAACGGCATAACACAACGGGGAGGATGGTTTCACCAGTCACTGTCATCGTCTATGTTCCGGATCTGCCCCGTTTCCCAAAGTTGAGCCAGGGCGCCCCTCCGGCAGATCGGCTTGACGGATTCCACAACCTGTGATAAAGCAAAGCCTCCATCAGATATGCACACACACACACACACACACACACACACACACACCCAAACCCAAACACACACCCAAACACACACACACACATACCATATTTTTCGGAGTATAGCCTTTTTCCCCCAAAAAAGAGGATGAAAATCTGGATGTGTCTTATACACTGAATACAGCATTTTTGACCTCCCCAAACCCCACCCCCTTCAGAAAAATGGACGTGCAGAGGGTTTGGGAGNCCTTTTGTAACCAACTCATACACTTTCTACAGTATGTAAGGAAGGAAGATTTTATGTGTTGTGTTTGTTTTGGGGGAAAAAATAAATTAAAAAATAATAATGCCCACCCTGTTATCCCAATGTCCCCTCAACTCTGCAGTCTTGTGGACTTGTGCAGGCAAGATTGGGCAAACTTTCGACAGGCTCCTATTTTACCTACATAAGCTTAATCAGGTTCTGAAAAAAATTGCAATTTGTCAGCCCTTGCTTAAGCTGCCATTCTTTCTTTATATGTGTTGATTTGTTAATGGGGTGAAGAGGTGTCTGCTATTGAAACTGAGACCTAAAATGATGTCTGTTTTGGACAAAATTCTGCAAAGACACCAATATCCCAGAATCCATGGCCCAGACAATCTGGCTACCCTGTGATCAAAGATGAGGAGCTATTACCCTCTACTGGATGAAGCAAGAGTTTCAATTTATGTTGAATAGGTGAGAGGAAAAACAAAACCTGCAAAACAAACAGACATTTTTACACAATCTACAATTGGCAGAATCCAAGCGTATTTGTAAAGATTGTGTAACCAGAATGGAGGTTTTTGGCATCGTGACACAGTATTAGTTTTGCAATTATCAGGGGGCAAAGCAACAAAAAGTACGTGTGATAAATTGTTTCACATCAAGAGAACAGTATACAGGTAGTCATTGGCTTATGACTGCAATTGACCCCAAAATTTATGTTGTTAAGTGAGTTTTGCCCCATTTTATGATCTTTCTTGATAGTTGTTAAGTGAATCATTGCAGTGGTTTAGTTAGCAACCCCGGTTGTTAAGTGAATCTGGCTTCCCCATTAATTTTGCTTGTCAGAGGGTCACAAAAGGGGATCATATGATCCTAGGACACCACAACTGTCATAAATATGAACCAGATCCGGATTTTGATCACATGCCCATGGGGATGCTGCAACGGTTGTAGGTGTAAATAACGACCGTAAGTCACTTTTTTCAGTGCCGTGGTAACTTTGAACAGTCACTAAATGAACTGTTGTAAGTCAAGGACTATCTGAACATTAAACCCAAAGATCATGCAACTTCCAATTAAACGCCATTCCTCAGTCTCGGATATTCAACAATTGAGTAAAGATACTTTAACGACAGATGATTTCAGCAAGAAGAAATCTGCTAGTTTCATTTTTCATTCTTAAACACAACAACAAGAGGGACCTGGATTGAAGGGGGTGAAAAACTGGGCTTAAAGTATTATTTCACGCTAGCCAATAAACTCCTGTTGCCCGGGTATTTATTTATAGAAGGACAATGTCCAGACCAAACATAATTTCTAATGTTGGATTTCCCCCCTTACCAGATGGACCCCCCTTGTGGAGTTTTGTGAAGCTGTTACCATGGCAACTCCACCGTGCTGCACAGTAGAAGCCATTTTACGGCAGTACAGTAGAAGCTATTTTAAGGCANGTTGCATTTGTGCTGATAAATAAATAAAGGGAGACTAGTATAGATCTATTTCAAGCTATTTAGCTCTCATCAGCTAGCCATACCCTTACTGGGATAGGAGAGCTAAATAGCTTGAAATAGATCTATACTAGTCTCCCTTTATTTATTTATCAGCACAAATGCAACACAAATGTAACAAAGGCAACAGTAAGAATAATGGCATTTGCTGAATTTTTGACATGCTGCCATCACTACCCTACGAGAAATTATTTGTATGAATAAAGTAAAGTATTTTTATGCAGTAAAATAATATACAATGGAATAACAGGGTTGGAAGAGACCCTAGAGGTTTCTATACCAGGAGACCCTATACCATTCCGGACAAGTGTCTGTTGGAAGAAATGTCCTTCTGGGTTCAGTTCCAAGTGGGGAAAAAAGACACTGGATTAATGGAAGTTGCTTTGAAAGACGGTTTATTGATAGGATCACATGGCTTGAGATGCTGGGCAAAAAAAGTGAAGAGATGCTGAGAGTACCCTGGTTCTATGCCCCCTCTGGGCTTTTGAATTTGAGTTGTATTCTGATTGGTTGTCAGGCTCCCATGGGGCCATTCAGGGGCAACTCTGTAGGCTGTCTCAAGTCCCAAGCTTGGTTGACTCTTGCTGAGCGATGATGTAATGAAAGAGCTTTGGGATTCCTATTATGGCTCTGCCTGAAGGAGGAAGATCCTTGTTATGTAGAATAGACTGGC